AGGCTGAATGTTCTTTGAATTCTTAAAAAAATCTGCAGTTTTTTCCTCTCATTTGTGAAAACAATCCATAATTTATAAACTGAGTCTTTCAAACAAAATAGCAGCAGGGTTTTTATTTCCAGAAATTTAGCACATTTGCTGAAGCTCAAAATAACTTTTTTTTTCTTATTTAGACTTGGTTATAGTGATTTACATAGTGTGAAGTGAGCACGAAGGGCTACTGGTAGGATTTGGTTGCATGATTTTACAACTGGTTTGCATTAATATAAATGGCAAAGTTAAACTTAGTGGATAATCAGTTCTGATTGTAAACATCCTCAAATGTTTTTTTGTGCTGCCATTGGACCATTTTTGAAAGGATGCCACTGTCTGGCTAGATCTAAACCCAAAGATTTTGTGAGACTTAGCTTATATAAATATATGATGTGGCATTCAAAGCAAGGAAATATTTTCTAATAGCACAGAATTGAAAACATGATCTCCGATACCAAAATACAGCTTCCTGGAACATATCATCACTTGGAGCTGGACATGTGTCTCTAAGAAAAATTTTTTGTTAACTAAATAACCATATTTACAATCAAATCTTCCTTTTTCTAGGAAGAACTTTGTGAAGATTGATTAGTTGGTGACTGTTGTCTATTAGTTTATGAGATCATCATGCAGCTGTAACTATAAATACTTCCACATAATGTCTTTTCATTTCACTAATGAAAAAACTGGCTCAAGAGCTCACTTTTCTTGTTTGATGCTTCTACAGCATTTCCCATTGCACCCTGAGTACACTATGAAAAGTTTATATAGGAACTGTTTCAGTCTCTATTGAACTGCAGCTACCTCAAACTCCATATTTAACAGCATACAACCTGGCCATGCTGCACAACACTTTAGTACAGGAAATGAAAATAAATACCATATTAATTTCAAGCTAGATGTGTTAGCGGGAAAATCTGAATCTTCTCATTTAGAGATGTGGAACAAAAATACCCTGGTACATAAACCTTAAGAATCACTTGACTCCTATTTATGCCTCTAAAATTAGGGCTCAAATTCATTTGAGCCATCCTAGCTGTTGGCAGAGGGGAGAAGTGAGCAGGGGAAGAAGAGTCTAGAGCAAGAGCTGGCTAAGGAACATTACGTGGTTGGGAACCTGTTTGTGAAAAGTATAAAACATACCTTTGGCACACACTAAATACTAGAGCACACTAAAATGTGTTTAATGCCAGTACAGTATGTGTCAGTATGAGTTCTTCAGGGACCCCTTCCAAACAGATAAGGCAGAAACAAAGTAAATCTATGGGAGATAGAATTGACCTTCGTGGAGAGATCAGCTAACTATGGGTGCTGTTTGAGAAGCAGTTAGCTATGCTTAAAGCTTAGCGTGATGTACTATCTCTGTTTCTTGAGCTGAGGTCATTTGAGGACAGATTGGGAGATTTTACTTTGACTGATAGTGAGATCAGGCTCGCTGCCTTTTCTGAACATGCTGAACTGTCATCTGGTGTGTCTACATGAAAAACTGTTTTACCGGGTTAAAATCAATTATTTGTTTTTGCTTTGGATGTTTTGCATTCTTGCTCACAGTTGGGTTGGTGTTATGTGAGAAGGGCAGGGTTGTGGGTTCACACTCATATATTCATGTAGCTGCAGACATACTTTACCCAAGAAGTAAAACAGTCCAAAACCTCAGATCAGAAGATGAAGACATTTTTCAAACCCCAAACAAAAGCAATAAATGGAAATAAGGATTAACTTTGTCAATTTTCACCCCTCCCACAATAAATCTCTGAAATCTTGGCTTTTATCTTAGATGGATAACACAATAGGCACCAGAGCACACCAATATTACGCAAATACTTCATGTGCTATCAATTATTTTGGAAGTATTCATCATCTGAATTGTGAAATGGTTTGACCTTTTTTTTTAATGAAGAGTGTATGAAGATGAGAGTGTTAGGCTGACACATTCTTTCTCTTGTACTTGTGTAGGTATATTTAAACGTAATTTCAGGAGAACACAGCAGTGAATAGGGCTCTCTTCTTGCTACACGCAAATACTTCATGTGCTATCAATTATTTTGGAAGTATTCATCATCTGAATTGTGAAATGGTTTGACCTTTTTTTTTAATGAAGAGTGTATGAAGATGAGAGTGTTAGGCTGACACATTCTTTCTCTTGTACTTGTGTAGGTATATTTAAACGTAATTTCAGAACACAGCAGTGAATAGGGCTCTCCTCTTGCTACCCAGCCCCTCCTGGATGGAGGGAGTGGAGTCAGAAATGATGTGTTACATGACAGGGGAATAGGAGTGAAGTGAGAAATAAGATTTAGTGTGCTGCTAAAAAGCATTTGGATGTTATGAAATCAAGAGAAGACAATCAATGGGGATGCAGCTGTTCAACCGTGACTATTAGAGACTTCTAGTCTGCAACTCATAGGAAGGCTAACGGCCCTGAGATGCCGAGGTGGGAGAAGGGGGCTGGTGCAGAAGGAGATCAGGGCAGAGTAGGTATGTATGCCTGCAGTGTGTCCTCATGGAAAGGATTCTTGTAACAGATGCCTTGCTAAAATAAAAGTTGGCTAAGATCAATATTCAGGTTGTGATGAAATAACTGAAATTAATTTCATGAAGAATTTCCAGAGACATCTTGAATTTCAGATCTGAGGTACTTACTGATTCAAAGTGATTTACTGTGGAACCACAGTGAACAATCACCTTTCCCAAGGCTGACACTCTCCATTTTACTTACACTGCTAGCCACGTGTGAGTTAATGTTGTACACTTTTTTTTGTGTTTCTTAAGATCATCTCTCTCTCATCTACCTTCCATAGCTCAGCACCTGATTGCACAGCAGGCAGCCATGCACTGCACCCAGCTGGGCTTTGTCTGAGGTGGCCACAGAAGGACTGCAAACAGGGAACTGACACCAACATCTTGACCAAACAGCATCATACACAAAACGTCTTGTTTTATTATCAACTTCAGAGTTTATTAATTTATCAAACCAGGTCAAAGTGATACAACAAGCACATAAATAAGTACTGTAACAGACATACATCCCATGAAGAGAATGAAAAGCATGACACTGTGTATTTTGTTGTCTTTAAGTGACCAGAAACTGGAAAAAATGCAACACTGCATTTTACTAAACGATGCTTACGACTTTTTTTTGCTTTTCTTAAAAAGTGTTTATTATAAAATAAATACACAATCTGGATTCCACCTGTCCTGTCACAAATACAAAAAGCAGGTTGCCGCCTTCTTAAAAAAAAAATTACAAACACCGTACACTTTCCACTTCGTCTTTTTTCACCAGCTACTGCTACAAACAGATGATGCCCGTGAGGTGAGAAATCAACTGCTGGTGTTCCCACCAGATCACTACAGTTCCTCAGAACCTCTTCTTTACAATGTGTTCACCAAAGGAACGATAAGGTTAATTCATGACTTATTCGAAGATTTATAGTAAAATTTTGCACTTCTGCAGCATATTTCAACCCAGTAGATGCCACGTGGGTGTCGCTGATGCCAAACTGCCTCGTCTACAGTTACACTGCAGTAATCTCTGGTGCGGCTAGCCTTAGGACCGCAGTTAGGATACGCTACACCCCTTTCAAACACCAGCACAGGGTTTATGGAGGCAGAGGCTACAGTCCCGTGGAAAGGTGGTGGGACAGTTCACTTAGCTCTCCTTCTAACGAACAGTGATACAGGACTTCTAATGGCCAGGCGCTAGTTAAGACTGCGTGCTGTAGCATGGTATCAGTGCTACCAGGTGCCTGTGGCCAGGTGTTGGCCGCGGGGCTGCAGGGTCCCCTCTGAGGAGAGCTGAGGGGCTGCCCTGTGTTCCAGCCAGTTCCAGCAGCCCCTCAGCCAGGCTGGCAGCGCCTCGGGGAAAAGGTATTTCAGGATGGACAAAACGCTGCTGGTCAGTGAGGGGAAAAGTGTGAGAAATAGCCCCGCCACAGCGAGGGCCAGGCAGGAGGAGGGAGGAGGCGCTCCTGGCCCCGAGCAGAGACTGCCCTGTGCCCGTGGAGGGACCACGGAGGATTTCCCTGCAGCCTATGGAGGCCTGGAAAGAGACCCCTCATGGTTCTTACTGATACCAGGAGGGTATTTTGTTCTTGGAAATTCACACGGTTGCTGGAGGAGCTCCCTTTCAGTGTGTTTTCCTGTTACGCAGTGGACCGTGTTGAGTGCTTGGTAGGGAGGGAAGTATTCCTAAATACTATCTGCTCTCTGTCCAGGCCAAGGGACAACAGGGTGGTTATATACAGGCAAGATCGCTAAGGACCTGAGCTCACCCTATATGTATTCTCCTAATTCCCTTCAGCCTTTCCTTCACCTTCCCGAATGTTCTTCTCGCTTGCTCCTCTGTTAGAAACCTGGCATGACACTCCTCCCGTCGCTGCAGGCAGCAGAGGCAGGACTGGGCGGCAGGAAGAAGCCTGGCCCCGAGGCCCGTGCTGCAGAGGGAGGCTGCCAGGGTTTGCACCTCAAGACAAGAGTCCCCTCAGGATGGTGAAGCTCTGCCTGAAACAGGCTTTTGGCATTCAGCACCGAGCTCTCCCACACCTTCATCCCTCTAGAAATGGGTACACCCTGGAGTGCTGTCACTGGCAGAATGACAAACCTCAAAATCCTTGCTGTCACTGTTGATTTCACTCCTTGCGAAGCCCCAGCCCTTGGCTCAGAACATTTCCATAAAGCTCTGTTTGAACAGCAGTATTCCGGTCTGCTTGTGGAGTAGAAAATGGGAGCAAAAGCAGGCAGAGTCACTAGCTTCTTGGGATTTAATCCAACATCGCAGCCACGAGGCAGTACAGTATTTTGGTGACTCTTCGGAGAAAACATTTTTTCAATTATACTTATATTTTTTCTGCAGATAAGAGCCACCGTTCTTAAACACACTGTAGACATGCTATACTAAATTCAACACAATCTCTCAGATTTGGTTTTCATAAAGATAACAGTTTTCCCCGAGCTGCTGTGTTCTAAAGGCCTGCGGTAGCTGTTCGGTGTTTATAATGGGAGAGAGCTGTCCTTGAAGCATGAGAATTGAGAGGTCACCCTCAGAAAAATGCAGAAGATTAGGTTTGTAACAAATCAGAACAAATAAATTAAGCACTGTCGCAACTCTTAAGGAGTTATTAATCGGGAGGTTTAACCCTGTAGGTGTTTTGAAAGTACTGCGAGTACTTCAGCACCTTCTGCCACGTCACTTTAGAAGGCAGTTTATCAGCCAAGACCATGTGTTAATAGGGCCCAGAAGAATGAAGTTATTAGGGCTGTGATAGGGAGCTAACACTTCACATTTTTTTAGAGAAGTGGGTGGAGGAAACAGTGAAAACCACTTAAAAGTGAACATTTGCTCAAATTGCTACAAAAATACAGTGATTGCCACTAACACCTGCTGTTCAGTTTATGGACTCAGTTTGCTCAACTACAAGACATCATCCCAAAGGCAGGCTGCTTAGGAGTTTGTTAGTTTAATCTATTTTTTATGTCTCCAACACAAGTATTGTATCACTTGTATTTTTCCTCCACTAGTAAAAAAAACCCACGAGTCATTTCAACACCAGAAATGGTATACATTCAGCACAGGAAATAATGCTCTCCATAGGTCCTGCACATTTATTAGGTGTCCTTCTTTTCATTAGTTTGAATAACTTGCCAAATAATAATAATAAAAATGTTCTGTTTTCTCTTTTTAACTTGTAAAGAAATGCAACTCTGGGAAAGTACAGTCTCTCTTTCTCCTTCTCCCACCAGTAATACAGAGCCTCCTAGTCTTTTGGAGGAGATATTTGAACGGTTGACACAGACCACTACACATAAAGCAGCAAATTTGCTGTGCATAATGTGAATAATTACTGCATTATAGTTTTCGTTTTTAGGGCAACTGTTGACTTAAGCAAAATAAGCCTGCAGTCCAGCTGCAGATCCAAGTTTTCATAAGTTTTCTTCTGTTTCTCCCTCCAGTGCTGTCTCCCTTAACAGTGACCCTTTTCAGACTTTTCAAGGTACAAAACCTTTACCAAATCCTCGAGCTCAGTCCTGCACACTCTGCTTTCACACATTTGGCTGATCTGAGCTTCTCCCTCGCTAAATATTTTCCACTGGCCTGAAAACAAAAATACAAAGGAGACAGATACTGACTTAGAAAAGGGCATAGGGAACTTCAAAGACATTTGCAAACACTCTCCAGACCAACTGATTCACAATGGCCAAAGAGAGAATGTCCAATCCCCCGGTGGAAAATATTCAAAGTATCTTACAATCGCATAACATATTCCATGCAAAATAACTTTGCTAAAAATAATAAACAAGGAGCACAATATTATTCCTTTCTTTAATGTAGTCGTGTAAGTTGACCCTATTCAACCATTTATGACATTGGATACTCTGCTTTATGAGAGAGCGATGAGAAAATTTAACTCTGATGGTAAACGAAAGTATTTAAAAGTTGGGAAGCAACAAGTCTAAGTGTTTCAGGCACTGTGAACTCGGACTACCTGTGTGTAATACAAACCGTGTTTGCTGACTAATAAAATTTCTGTATAGTTTTTATGATGTTAATAGAAATACCCACTGTACTGGTAACTAGAATACTATATTACTGATAACAATGACAAGCTTATGGAAAGCTGAAAGCAAAAAATTAGGAAACTTTTTATATGCAAAGGTGTCTGCTTCTCACTAAGCCTGTATTATCAAGAACGTGTTATTCCTTGGAAAAACACTTCCTTGCCTAATTAGAGACCTCAGAAAAAATTACAACTTGTAATGCAAAAGAACTGGGAACTAAAAATGTCTATGCCTTAATTCAGCTATCAAATTAAGTGTCATATCCCAAGCTGGATGAAATAGAAAAAAGAAATTGAGTCAAGAGTGATAAAAGAATTACATGTCTTTTCAAAAGACAGATCATAATAATATTGTTAGGAACATAGGAAAGGGTTTTTTCAAATGTAACATATATGTATGTGGGAGAACTCCTTGAATCATCTCTGAATTTTTCCCCTTCTAAATGACTTTCTAAAAAATGGGAGTAACTTGACATGTTACTTAAATAAATCCAAATTGTGCTGCTCTGCTGGCATCAGTCATATTTTAGACTTGGGGCAGTATGGGCAGAAAACAGCCTATCTTGTATTTTATCAAAATACAGGAGACTAAGACAGCATGGACAAGAACTACTGTTATATGTATCTATATTTTAAATTGCTGTATTTTGATTATTTAAAGCTAAACTTATAATATATTGGAGCCATGTACTAGAAGAAAAATTAGTACATCTGTTTGACTATGTTGAGTAACAGAGAATGTTTTTCAAGGCTATGATTATATGGAGAATAGAAACCTGAAGAGGTCAGAATTTTACTTACTAGGGGTTGTCCTTGTTATCTGCTTGAAGTAAGGAAGTTCTTCAAATTCTCTCTTGGACATTTTTTCAACATAGAAGTGACGCAGAATCCCTTCAGCAAAGAAATAAGAAGTGCGTGTTACTGGAAACATGCCTGTTGTTCTAAACCTCAGTCGCTGTCCTGCCTTTACGTAGAATTACTGCCATGTCGAGTCACCTTGTGAAATAATCTTTACCAATTACGTGGACTTTCAGCCTATTCTTTTTTATTCTGTTTGCCACCCACTTGTTTTGTTGCTACTCCTCTGTAAATCCTTCTGTGGATTTATGACTGCAGAGAGTTTGAGGGGTGTGAGAATTAGCTTATTCTTTTCCAACATAGCTGAACCCTTCCTTAGTACGAGTAAATGTAAGATTACAACAGAAGCCAAAATCCCAGTGTCTTGGAGAAACCTAGTATCATTTTGCAGGCAGATCCCATTTTGTCTGTCATGAGCAAGCAGGCAACATCACTGTCAAATCACCACAAGGCTTTGTGGCTTCTTGAACACACACGGTAGTTATTAACCATCTGACCCTCTGTGACTTCTTTTCTGCTCACACTTTGGGCTTTGGCTTTGGGCTTTAAAGTGCATTGTAGAGATGTATCGTTTCCGTGTAAAGGGCTGCACTATATCAGGGTTTCCTATGAGGATCACATGCTTTTTGCTTAAAGTAGATGAAGTAGATAGGATTTTTAGGAAGCTGGAGATAATTTTTATTATACTGAAAGTTTGGGATTTGCAGAAGAGCTTGGGTTTCTGAATGCTTTTCTATTTTTTTCTAATTTTACCAGTTACCGTAGTAAAAGATATTTTTTCCATTCTTAACAGCCTTTTGGCCCATAGTCTAGACCATCATGGGTGCAGCATCTCTAAGGCAGACAGGGCAGACTAATTTCAATGGAAATGGTTTTGGTCCATCCTAAATAAGAACCTCCAGGCCCTTGGTTCAAACTCTACTATCCATTTCTCTGCAAAAAATTAATTTCACAGGGTGTTACTGACAACCATCATTGTGCTTTTGCTCACAACGAAGGGTAGGAGTTTGCAGAACTAGAGCTTTGTGTGTTATTAATGTTTTTTCTACAGCAAAACTTGAGTATGCTGGAAGTGGCTGTAATAGCGATATCCTAAATAGCCAGAAGAACAGCAGGCTCAGGCTGCTTGGATTTGTAAATTGTCCTGGGATTTTAATGGAAGATGATACACTGTTTAAGAAAGAACTTGCTCAACTCACCTTTTCTAATTGTCCACACATGTATTTCTATTTGAGGTGGCTTTTCAGTCTCTACTGCAATTTTTCTGATGGTTTCTCCTTCCTCTGTGAAAATGGATTCATAGACGGGAAATGTCTCTTTCCCACAGAAGTATTCTTTGTTGTCAAAGGTTTGACTTGGCACTTCTTCTGTGTAAAAAAAGCCCAAAACACATACTACAGCTGTAATCAAGTCCTCCAGAACTTACTTGCCACTGATAGCCAAGCAGGTTTAGTTTAAAAGTAGAATTTTCACTTGTATGGCCACTCAAATCCATCTCCAGCTAAGCCCCAGATATTTAATAGTGTTCTAGTCTGCTATGTTCTGATGGCCTGTCTATGGTGGCAAGACAGTATTCATATTTATAACCCCGTTTCACAAGGAAATAAGCTGGGCAAAACCATGTGATCTGGGAGACTCCTCACAATTTTCAAACCTGTTGTCCACTTTTCAAGCATATTTGAAATAATGGTAGAAGTCGCAGAGGTAATGAAATAACTAAATAAAAATTGGTGGTTGGACAGAGTGAACAGAGGCAAATTAATGCTTTGCTGAGGAAAAGGGCAGGTAGAACCTACAAGGTTTGCATTTTGCTCGGCAGCAGCCAGCTGGCCAGTGCAAGCCTGGCCTAGCCACAGTGCACATTATCTCTTGCCCACCTGGTAAAGTCATAAAGCATACAAGTAGAAATTGTAATTATTCTGTTGGTAATTGGAAGTTGGACAAGAATGTAAAAGAGATGATGCAACTCAGAAACTCGGACTGCTGTTTGTGGAAAAACCTAATAATTAACACGTCTCCACACACACAACACAGACTGCAGGAAGAGGTTCAGCTTTCTTAAAAATTGGCACATAGAATCTCAAAGAAAAAGACAGTGACTTTCTTTTTGCTATTACATTTTCTATTGAAGCCTGTTAGCCAGGTTTTTGCTCAAATGAGCCAAATAAAAGCTGTGGATCTCTGATTCACAAGTATCCAAAGGGATCTGGCTACACACCTCCTGCCTGCCTACTGCCACTGCATTGTGCTTTTTCCCAGTAAGCCAGGCTAGCAAGAGAAAATGGGAAGTGTGGATTCTATGAAGGATTTCAGTGCACGACTGAACAACTCATCTCCTCAGAGCATTTCCACCCAATGCATCACCAAACACACAGAAATGGGCCGTACAGATTAGAAAAGAAGTTTAAAGGCATGGAAGGGAACTGGACACTCCTTTACCCTTTATATCATATGCAACATGGCTGGTTGTTTGGCAGACCATCATCAGACTCGTATTAGCCAATTTTTCACTAGTTGTAGGCATTGATTTTAGTAAGTAATGTCTACATAAGTTTAATCATTAGTGCAGCATAGAAACAATGCTAAATTTGTGATAAGTTAATATTTATTTTAAGGATTCAGTTACATAACTGACACCAATCAATTTATAATCAGGGGTTTTGAATCCTTCTAGTACATTTTAAGAAGCAGAAATGATATTATCCCCATGCAAATTTCACAAGCTAGAACATGATTTCAAGGTTCTGTGGGCAGTGTAGTGGGGGGAGGATGGGAGAGTCTTTTGACAGTAATGAACTTTCTGTGTACGTCTCTGTAATATTCTCTTTGGAAATGAGAGTCAGGAAGTCATGCTAACAGCAGAGAGAAAGGCAGTGACTGATCAGAACATGTATGCCCCCGGGAACAAGCCCCCCCCATTTGAGGAACAGCAGTGAACAGCAGGGCTGGCCAGGCAGCTCTGCCTGTCTCACACCGACACCTCCACACACACATTGCGACAGTGGGCACAGCTATTGCTATTTTCATCAGATCTTATTGTGACTGGAAGGCTTGAGCCAAGCCCCTTAACATGCACGGCAAAAAGGTGGTCTGTGATCAACTCTGTTTTACCTGGACAGACTTTACAGCATTTTCCTTCTACTTTCTGAGGGTATTTGCAGGGGTATTGTTCTGGACAATGAATTTTCTTACATTCTTGTTTGGTGATGTTGCAGGTGCACAACACACACTCTACGATTCCAAAGGCCCGGAGATTAGGATGCCAAGATTCACCATGTGAGTATGTTTTGCCATTTGAAACACAAACTACAAAAGAAGAGAAAAGGAAGAAAAAGTACAACTGGAAAAGGTATGTTCACTGAATGCCTCTCTATGAATACTCATTTGACTCATGCACATTTGCTTAAAGCAGTATCTCTGTACATAATTTTTTAGTGTCTCTGGCCCATTTCTCTGCTTGTTAACTTGGAGTTTTGCTACTTAAAATGAGTCTGAGCCCATGATCACCCTTTTCTGAGCAGTTTTGCCTTGATTCCAACTCTGCTGACACTGGTGTCCATCACTATTTTGAGGAGAACAGTGAAGGTGGCCGAGTCAAGTATGTGACTAGCTCCTCTACAGCGCACATATTTCAGTTGTGCATCATTAACCAGCTTATAAAACTCACTCTTCCTTCCCCTCCTAGTCTCAGTCCACACACAGGACACAGAACTGAATCTGCAGATGACAGGATCGTGCTGCTGAGTCATCTGCACAACTTTCCTTACCATTAGCTAAGCGTGGCTTTTGCAGAGAGCACCACGCTATCAGCAGGATGGGTTAGTGCCACCTGGGCCTTTTATTGCTTCTGCATGAAAGTTCCTGCTACACAACACACAGAACAAAGCATGAGAAAGTTGCAAAATAAAGTTTAATGTCCTTTGTGGAAATATATATGTCTATAGGTATATAGAGACATTGGGCTTTTGGAATCACAAGAAAACATTAACATGAAAGGATGCATATGCGACTGAAATTTCATTCCAATAACACCTCAGAATATTTATTCATCGGTGCCCTTGGGAGACAGAGAAATACAGCTGACACAAGGAGAGTGGAAAAATCCATGCCTAGTGGAAGCCAGTTTGGGTCACCCCGCAGTTAATGGGAATTATATCACTTTACACCATGTTTGCATTTGTCCTATAAACCTTACTCCTTTCTTTTTTAAATATTTTATAAACACAAAGAAAAATGCAAACTAATCCTAACAAGGTGAAAGAAAGGGCACTGCCTGATTTCTAAAAGCAACTAAAATGAAGCTGGGATATGTTGTAAATATTTCCAATTCTTCTAATATGCCATCATTTTTATTAATGCTTTTATTTGTAAAACATGTTCCTATTTTGCCTGTAACTTTCAAAAGCAATTTAATTTTTATCTGTAATCTGAAATTTACATCTAACTGGTAACAGATGTTGCCAACTGGCTTATACTTTACTGAGTTACTGAGATTTATGGGGAGTATTCTTTGCAATGTATTGTCTTTCATGGGGTTATGCTATCATTTGGTTTATAATTTGCTACTTTTTAACTCTTTCTTAAGACACATTTTTATTTTAGAGGTAGGAAACAGTTTTGTTTCTCAATAAAAGCAAATAAAGTGTTATCTGTATACTAAGAACATGCGAGAAAAAACTGTAAATGAGAAAACTGGTAAGTACTCAGCAGGCTTCTTACATGCTTAAAATACTATATTACTAGTTATATTTATGCTTATATGGATTTTTTTTCCCAGCTAGAGTTCTCCATATCCTTTATGGACATAAATATTTCATAATTTCTCCCTGACATTGTGTGGATACATACTCTCTCTGTTTTAAGGGTTTGTTTAGCACAGAACAGTTAAACAATTACTCTGAGGTAGCAGATGAAGCCTCCAGTAGAAGCCAAAATATGGCAAACAACTTCTAGTTCCCTCATGGCCTATTTTTAGTGCTTTTCATGTTTAGAATGATAAATCTGGATCCATGCAACTGCACAGTATTTGCATGTCAGGAGAATTGTTATGTGTTTATTTTTTAACTTGTTGAAATGTGTCTCAAGGGGCATGTGCATTAATTAATAAAACACTTGTTAACTGCACAAGAACAAGAGAAAATACATGGTCAGCGTTCCTCTTTCCATCGTGGGGATCTCTCAGACACTCTCCAGGCAGTGAGTGTCTGAAGTTGTGGCAGTTACTATATACTGCAGCCAGAAATATGCTATTCATCTGTATGCTCTTTATTTGCTGAAACAAATCAGTTAGAAATTGCTTTGATGATGTCTCCATGTGTGAATTACATGTCAAAGATACTGCACTGCATGGAGATTCCTGCTCCTAGATTCAGCATAAAACACTGGCATGATCTGAATGTTTTTTCATGCTTGTTCAGGTGGATAATAAAGATCCTATGGCCAACATTCCTTCTGTTAGTTAATACCTTAAAAGATTAGTTGGCCCTAATACAAGGACTTTTAACTCTTTGTGGGTAGTTTCTAAGTGCATACTGACTGGTATTTGTGGATAGATGCTGTTCTGAACATGCATTTTTACAGCTATTTCTTTTATGGCTTTTCAGGCCTGTTCCTGCAGACCTCTCTTCGCTGAGGTACACCCACTGTGGGAACTGAGCATCTCACCATTTTTATTGTGCAAAACCTGCTGTCCCACTAACTGGAGAATTGATGTTTTCTCTCTGTTTTTGTCCTTCCTGTAATGCAGCAGGCATATGGCTTAGTCATGTTTGGAAAAGGTTTGCCTTGGTTTGGCTCAAAGTTCTGCTGTCCCCATAACGTAATACGCCCTATATTACATTATCAGAAGGCACTGAAAGATTCTTAGAGTAAGATTTGTTACCTTGGTTAACTTTGCCTCTTTATAGCTCAGGCATCCAGTACAGCCTAATTGCCTACTCTGCCTCTAGTATTAGTCATGGAGGAGGAAAAGCACCCCTTGCATCCCACTGTCTACCGTAAGGTGAAGGATATGATATTGTCTTTCTTGAGAATAATTTGCTGAGCCTTGGAGACAGAAAACCTCTTGATACTATGGCAACACTTTATGGTCTGAGATTTGTGAGGCACTTTTTAAACATATGCTGCTTACAGCTAGTAAAGTTACAAAATAGTGTAAAGAAAATAACCGCGAACAATTTCCTACTGGACAAGTCACTGTGTGAACAAGTTAGCAATCTAAAGGCATCATGGTGTCCTGTATGGCACAAAGCGCTCACTTCCCTGGTAACTGCTGCATGTGTTCTCAGAATTATGTAGCACAATCCCACAAAGTAATTCAGAAAGCAACCCGATAGTGTGGTGCCTTTGCAGAATGAAATGCACTGCTGTATGTGTAGGCACAACTGATCTTAGTCAAGAGCTAATTTCATATCCTTAACAGTTTATGGCTTTTTGCCTCCCTGATTTGCACTGGATCTCTTGATACCAGTGTGTATTTCCAAGATTCTGCTGTATATTTTGAGGTGACTGATTCCTGACCCAGAGTAATAGTATAAGAAGTATTTGTCTTTACCTCGTCCGTGCTTATGCTTGTTGTTGATGACAATTTGTACTATTGTTCCTGAAGCTTGCTGGGGATCTGGTAGGACTCCACGGTTACTCCTAGCATTGGGAAATCGTGGAATGTTGACTACCTGCCTCGCAGAGCTGGGTGACAGGTCGTAGTGGGAGCGATGGTATGAGTGTCTCTGTGTGGAGACAGGAAGAGAGCAGGAAAGTAAATGTCTCATTTCAATGAACATGGGGAAAGAGGTTGTATTAGAAGCTTAACAAAGGCAATAAAAGTGTTGCCACTATCATCAAACATCATTAAATATAATGAATGGCACCACACCAAATAAAGGCCATTCAGGTTTTGCAGACAGTTAACATGGTAATGAAGTCATCTACACATACACAATTGTAACTCATCTCACCAGACTGTATATGTCAGTGTAGGTGTCTTTATCTGAGTTGGTCATCTGAAGTCCCTTGTCAAGTCAGTGGACCGAGAGGCAATTTCAGAACCTGACCTGTTATGGATCTCGATGAATCACACCCAGAAGTGCCTGTTTCACTCCAGGTATGAAAAATGGTGTTCAGAGCTAGATATCTGCTTTACTGATGTCTACTCTAAGATTAGATGAGAAGAACTGTAAGCCTATCTAGTTTTCCTCAACAAAATTGCTTTCTCCTAGGGCTCCAGTGGCAGAGCATGTCCAGAATGACTGTCCGGCTTCTTGTCTGCAGCTTTAAGCTCTCATGCACGGCCAGGATAAGCCTTGCACAGACTGAGCAGAACCTTACTAGAATCTGTCTTACAGACTGGGAAGTCTCATTTTATTTGCAAAGGAAAGTAGTAGTAGTAGTAGTAGTAGTAGTTTGCAGTGTGTTTTCTAGAGCAAAAACACTGGTTGTTTTCAGAGAATTATTTTCCAAAATATGAAGGAATGGTGTATATGACAGCAGTTGTTTTATAGGGCATGATTCTTCTCACTAATCCAAAGACCTGTTGGTTCATGTATTTAGGTAGCGCTCCTAATCCTTAAAAGCTTTTCATATTCTCTCCAAATACTGTTATAAAAATAATCTCTGGAGTTGTCAATGGATACTCTTACCCCTAGAGGTAGTGAAGCCCCTAAAGTAATACGTGTCTACATGTCAACTGGGAAGTGTTTGCAATTATGATTTAAAAGTGAAGCTTGCATAGCAAACAAAGCACTGTAGAATTTTGTTCTTATAAAGCATATACAACAAAGACCAAATCCAGAACCTGCAGGAGCTCATGGGAGTTTATAATTCAGTGTTATTCATGAATTCGGGTTGAGTTTATTAAGGGGTTTGCAGAAGTGGAAGATACCTATTTTGGGCTAGATTCACAGAACCCAGGATGAAGCAGTATTCAGACCTATTATCAATGTACTGGCATGGACAGTACAGCAGGAAAATATATCTTTAAATTGTAGGTCACACTTACAGCTTCCCTGTTGGCTGGCTGCCGGAAGATATCTCCGTCGGAATGTTCCCATGATAATTCTCCATCTCCTGGACGTGAAGCAGAGCAGTATCAGTTAGGGGAGTAAGTGGGCAACATCTTGGGAGATACTTAGGGGAAAGGTCTCATCCAGCTTTATAGCTAAATTTAGGGTGGAGGTTGCATCAGTATGTAGAAGTGTCAGTCTGCAGTCTGACTTTATTGTACTAGATTCTGTAGAGACCAAAAGGTAGATCTCTTCCCAAATGTTGTGCAAACCCAGGATAAAGATTTACTATCAGATTTATGTGGCTTAACAAGATGCTATGGGCAAGGTAATTTCCACCATTTGCTATGTGATCTCAGGCAAAGGTGGGGAGACATGACTTCGCTTAGCTCACAAAGGCTAGATTGTGTGACTTTCCATCTACTGTGGGCTGAGGGAACCCACGGGCACAGTTTCTGTTGCTCAACTGACATGTAACCTGACTGAGAATTGAATCCTCAATTACATTTTTGTAGTCAGCTCTGAAGTGTAGCCATTAATAAATAACATTGTATTATACATATCAAGAGACAGTAAGCCATATTTTGTCCTGCAAACTTCCTGTCCCCATATCTAAATGGTTGTTTTTTCTCTAGTATTTATGCTTCACTTAATAAAAATTGATAAGTCACGATTCACCCCCAGGTATGATTATGAACCAGGGAGGTGCTCTCATCTGTTTGTCAAAGAGTGACTGTTTCACAAATAGCAGTGATGGCCACGCACAGTGCGTGACTCATCAGACACAAACCAAAAACTCTTCCAGGAAGCCAGGCACATGCAATGAGTTACGGCAGGATGTATGAGAAGTTGGCCCACTAACACCGTATCCCATCTAAGCTCACAGGATCCTATATTTGCACGTAGAGAATATGAAATGTTCAGCACTGCTTTATGAATCAGGCCAATGACAGTACTACAGAATAAGGCTCATAGCACTATGGACACTCATAACAAAGTAAGGACATTCTAACTGGTCTTGTAAAAAAGAAAAAGTTTTGCTAGAGCACTAGCGGTTTGTGCATGTGATGCAGAAGTAATGAATTCTTTTAAGAATCAATGCAAGGGACTTGTGGAGCCAGGCTCTGGTTCCTCACAGCCAAACATGTGATTCATGGAAAGGAAAGTTGGAAAGAAAAAGAAACCCTCAGTTTCTATTCAGGAGTAGTGTCCAGCTGTTTTCTTTGTAAAGACAACTTCATAAACACAAACATAACTAAGCATAAGCTATGGCGGTAATTATAGCAGGGAAAAATCAGTTCAGGCTAGAGAGAGAATGTGGCTTTAAGAAGTTTTTAGAGATCTATTTAGAGGTGTTCCTTGATAAGACAAGCCACGGAACTTGAACTGATATCTGATTCTTGGAAAACTTGTACAAGAACAGGAGAAATCATTTAGTGTGGAGCTGAGCTTGGAATTTATCCCAGCCTTGGCATTCAGATACAAGTACAGAGAAGACTGCTTTGCTAGTGGTTCAAAGCCTAGCTCTAGATGTGCCGAGCACTGCACTGAATGCAGAGCAGGACCACCACGTCAGGTGCCTTACATTAATGGCACAGATCATGGGCTTGGGTCCTCGAAGCAGGGTAGCTGCTGCAGCAGCAGTAGTGTGTGATACTGGCTTGGGAGAGCCATGGTGTTGATGCGGGTATGCCTCCAGTTCTGGAGTTAACTCGTCCAGATTTAACTTGATCAGATTCATCACAGATCCACAATCCCAGTGCATACTATGTGTTAGCATTTTACTCACTATGCAGTTTATGAGAACTTTCCGCTGAACCTAAGGGGAAGTTGGATCCTGACATAAATCAGCATCTGAACCATAGTGCTTGGAACCTTCTCTAGTCAGTAGCAGAGGAATGAACAGGGAAATCAGCAAATTTTAATATATTATGTTAATATATTTGGCTATGCAGGGAGCAGAAACTGACTCACAGTTTCCTCCCCATGAGCTGTGCTACATCTTGATGCAAACATTTTGTTTAGGTTTGCATTTCATAAGAATCACAGAGGGCAGATAAAACAGCTTATGCCATATTGAAAAGGACAAAGCTGATTACGAGATAAATGATCATTTCAACATTTTAAGAGTAATAGACAGTGGAATACATTAACAAACCCCTGCATCAGTGGAGACACTGGGTCGTCTGTACTGCATAATCCAATTTAATCTCACCTCTCATATGGAAATTCTAATGAATTTGTTTCTCATTAGTGACTCTCTCTTTGGCTGAAGTGACTGATTTCTCCAGCATGAGGCTAGTTTACAGCATAGCTATGTCTGATAGTTCATACTTTGAAAGTCAGTTTGATTTTTGTAACTGAAAGAGGCTGGTTTCAAATACAGCTCAAATAACTACCAGGAAACAGATATGAGGAATCAGATTATTAGCAAGGATTTACTTTAATTAGCTGCCAATATATTACATTTAAAACAGTGTATTACTAAATTTCACCCCGGGAACCCCGGACTACCACCTTGCCTGCTTGAGATCAGAAAGCTTTATAAGCAGTTTTCCTGGCAAAATGCTTTAAGATTTGTAAAGATACTGTGGAGTAACATGACAAAGCAGCAAAGAACGAGGAACAATCTCCGTGCAAAGGAGTACTGCATAGAGATCCTCATCCCTGCTCTGACTGAGCTGATGTATTTATGCAGCACGCGGCATTGCCCTGCCGAGAGATTAGTTCAGGTCCTACATGGTGCCACACTGAAGTTAATTACCACTGCATCTCCGTGGGTTAAGTAGCTTAGACAGCTTGCTGCACTGACATGACTGCACAGCTTCTCTCCAGGAACTTGTTCCTTCAAAGCGTGCTGTACTATCTCTGCATCATGCTGCATTATTAAGCACTGATGCACGCTGAAGCACCCTCTTTTTGGTTCAGCCCCTTCACTGCTCAGAGCTTTTGGTCCAGCATGCATACTCAGGACTCCTCAGGACAGGGACTGTGGGACTACGCTAGTTTGTGTTTCACAACTCTAGCACCATAGGCAAAAATATACAACCGACAATATAATACTCATCTTTACCATGTAATAGTACTGAGTTCAAACAAGCAGAATCTCAGAAGGATATAGCTGCACAAAGGTGCAAGCAGGACAGTTTTTCAAAGCAGTCTGGCATCACTGATATCAATAGAGTGGCACTTCTGAAAACCATAGGTACCTTTAGATGCTTATCTGCATCTTTGAGAACTGGCCATAGGTGCTTAGATACCTTAGAAGTGTTGATTCAAATGCCACGATACTAATAGTGAGATAAAATACATTTAGAAATTCTCAGACTTTTAGACGGGCTTTCAGACAGACATTTAGGTTTAGACATTCAGAAAGGCTAGGAAGGCCCCTAGAATCAAGTTCCCTGTGTGTACAAGACCTAAAATGCAATTGCTAGTAAAATACTGAAGTCACCTGTGTATAGATTGACACCTAATTTAAACTGGAGTAATTGGCTTTACCCTCTGAATTGAAATTCTTGTGTTTTGCATAACTTGAGCAGGTCTGGTAACCTGTCAGATAGACGCTTGTCTTCTATTGCAAAGCTTTTCTACCCAGAGCAACGGCAGCTATTTCAATACATCATTCGAAGCCTTGATTTACCTTGTTACGGGGATGCAACCTTATCATCACTGCATTCTCTCCTTGTTTCAATTTAGGAAAACAAAGGTAGCAATGTTACCCTGCTGGAATTCAAGGTTTAATTTCCCAACATGCATTGGATTCTAAGTACATGGGAAACTTGCAGATAGTGTCCTGGGTGACAGTGCTGGTGCAAAGACAGGGCTCTCACAGGGGAAGGAGTAAATTCAGAGCCTGTCCTTCTGTGCTCGTACTTGAACTTACCTCTGCAAACTGGACAGCAGGATTCCGGAACAGAAACTGGGAAAGAGCAAGTTAATTTGGGACAAGTCTTCAACCCACAGTACACATTTCCTTCCTGCCAGTAAAACACAAGGAGAATTTAGGAGGAGTCATCGATTCATCTGGTACCGTATATGCATTTTTTATGAACATGTTTAAATCTAATACGTGTGTTACATAAATGCCACTTTAGTATGCGAAAGTAGAATATTAGACCAATGAAAAGTCTGAACAGCTTTTTAAAAATTTGTTGTTGCACAGAGGAAGGTCCCTTTCTTTAAAAAAACAGGGGGAAAAGGAAAGAGGTGAAAGTGGGTAGAGAAAGGAACTGTAGGCTGAAAATGTACCTGACATTGTTGGTACTAAAATCACCCAGCATAAATTCTCCCCCCTGCTCTCCCTCTGTTGTGTCTTACCATTGAACTGGAGGAATAGCTTAGCAGTTACAAAAAGTCATTAAGTTTGTTCAGTACTTGGCCTGTTAAATGTGTAGTTAATGTAGAATACGATGCTGATTTGATCAGAGGAGGTGCAGAGTTGCCAGTACTTGATACTGAAGAGCTGGCTGGATTGAGAGCGATGTTTTGTTTCAGATACTGGCTCTGAAGAGTCACTGGGTGACTGCTCAGATAAACTGGATTTGAATTGGTGACATCTGAGGAATGGCTCTGTGGCCCAGTGCCAGTTTACAGAGCTGTCCGCTCCCTGGGGGAGTCTGTGGGGCTCTTTACTTATCAGCTCCGTCCAAATGAATTCAGTTTCAGCCAGTGCCTTAGTGCTTTATTTTCCAGTCAGGTTGAAGTGCAATATTCTACATATGCCAAGTAGCAGTATTTTACCTGATGCCTCTGCACTGTAAGCTCACTTACAGCAGATGCTTGACAGGGTGAGCTTTGTCCACTGTGTTTGAGTAAGAGGTAGCCTGGCATTTACCAGGTGCTGCAGACTGGCTCTGAGCACTCTCATGAGTTTCAGCCTTAATTCTTAATTTGCAGCCTTTGCTATGTATTGCTTATATTTCAGTGTGAGGTCTTCTAGAAAGGCAAAACGAAGCATAGACAGAGGAGGGTTCTGTTAAATCATGTTACTTACTGAGCAGCTGCACTGGGCACACTGGTTTGCTTGCCTGTTTTGGAAAAGCCCCTCTGCCACAAACATTTCGCCATGATGGTAGGTGGTGCCATTGTATTCACAGGATTTCCCAGTGATTTTGCTGCTTACTGAGAACAGGGAGTCTTCTGGAAGCAAGGGGAAAAGAACACTTCATGCAAATGTTCTTGACAACTCGCAAAATCACAAATACAGAGGAGGAAAAGCTTCCCTTCTCCCTCATTTCTCTTTATTATAAAAAAGACAAGTTTTGACATGCTACAAAGTATAAGTGATATTCTCATGCTGCTATTTTGCTGAACTTTAATAATTCACACTTTGAGTTGACTGTCCCAGTTAATCTTAGGACGCTGATGATCTACTGCAATGCCAGCACTGATGGCTACGTCTCATGCCACTGTATTTTCTTTTGCTGTGTCTGCTGTAGCATTTGGTATTACAACAGATAGGCGCAGTTATGAGCCCACTAGTTATATTTACATGGCTTTTTCACGCTTTAATGTAGAAGGCATTAGGTCCTGTAAACACACAGAATCCCACTATCAATAGCACTGTTCTACCATGGTTTCCCCGTTCTTAGTCCTGGTATCATTTTATTAATGGTTTGTAGTGCTGTAGCCCATAGAAGACTTACTTGCAGGTTAGCATTGTGCCATAGGGCACGCATGATTCCTTGCCACCCACAGGCACAAACCTTCTGGTAGAGGAGCAGCGCTGCTGACGATGGAACTGTGTCAGGAGAAAACTATGTACTATGCAAGTGTTTGTTCCTAGTGGCTTCATGATTCGTTGCTGCTGTTGTTTTCAAAATAGGCAAAACTTGTCAAAGGCAGACTTCAAAAGCCACCCAAAAGCTGATTTTTCTCTGAACATGCATTTTAATGCCAGATGTGCAAATGAGTGCATTTTCTTTGCAGAACTCAGTGCATATGACAAAGTGCACAAGATGGCAGTGTCAATTCTAACATAAAACCTCCTGTTTCAACTCAAGATCGTATCGAGTTTTGCACCTCATGGCTAAATTGTCTTCTAAGACATAGAGCTATCCATACCTTATGTTAAAACATCCCCTAGATTGTTTAACTATTAGCAGTTGACAAACTGTGCAAAGGGATTATACTTTACCTAAGAAATGTAAGTCACTTGATACCTATTGGGCAGCAAATGTGGCACTATACATTTACATTCACATGAATTTAGCGTCTCAGCATGGGAAAAGACATTTCGAACAAGAGCTCTATGGAAGTTAACAGTGGAGTGTTTGTTCTCTGGAGCCCGAATCACTGCAAATTTCTAGGAATGCAGCTGAAATTTCATTCAGTGGGTTTGGGCTTTAATGTAAAAGAAACCTGACCTGAAAATTCAGGTTTTGCTGTAGCCCCTTTCATTATCTATCAGATAAACCTGAGGAGATTTTCTTGTGAAGCTGTGCCACCACAGAACACACATTTTTCAGCTGGGAGCTCAAGTGAAAGAGCAGTTTTCTGCTGGCATGCACTGGCATTAAGCACTGACATTTAGAGTTTTCCATAAAAGCATGTATTTATATAGGTCCATCAAATATGAATAATATTTTGAATAGTAAATGTCAAATCTGGCTGTGGAACATACATGTCCTGTTGTACTACAGTAGTTGAGAGTCTAGTGGGTCAGCAGAGAACATTCTGCAGGAGAATGGCAGAAGTTAGCTGTTTAGGGTTCTTTGCCTGGCATTTCATTTCTCTTCAAGAGACAGACATGGTATTTGCACTTCTTCCTTTGAAGCACCAAATATATCATTATTTCAGTGCAATCAAGGGTGTATAATGATACCTTTCCAAAATCTTATAAATAGTACAGAGCTTTGACAACACCTGTGCTTGGCATAGAAATGCAATGCTTTTGGCACTTTCTGTATGGTTTGCTAGTACTACACATTCTAGAAAGGCAAGATGTATATTCTAATTAAGACACATTAAAGTCATCAACAAAAGAGTCAAGTGACAAATTCAGCTACTGTCCCACATTAGTCACAAATACTGGACAACGTGAAGAGGCACTTCTCAGGTCTGTGCTACCTCCCAAAACTTATGTTACCATAGTTTCTTGGGCTTTCAGAGTCATCTCATGGAAAGCAAAAGGAGAGACTGCCAAACCCTTAGTTATCCCCTTGCCCCTTGGGCAACTGGAAGAGCAGTAGAACTGGAAAGAAATGAAAATGAAAGGAGAATACAGATGGTTCTTGTTGGCTATGAGGCCCTGTTCATGCAGGCTCTGCAGGACATCGCTGTGCCCATGTGGGATGCCTGTCCCAAAGCAGGGTTTGGCTTGCGGTCTGACATTTGCAAAGACCAATACTTGAGTGACTCATCGTGACTTCTCAGAGTATTGGATGAAGAGAGGAAGTTTTACTGCAGATTTACCTTGGTATATGCCACATCGCTTAGATCACTATGAAATCACCAGATGCCTTTAAACTGTGGCTTCTAAGTAAGGGAAGGAAGATGGTGACATTTTTATTGCTTGGAAAATGACAGTGGAGAGTTGCAGTAGGTAATTGTTTTCATCTGTATTTCTTTTAAGTTGATCACAGAAGTTAGGCCTATAACAGCTGAATCATCACATGCAGCCCCAAACACATGTACATCTGCCTATCTTTGGAATATGGGATAAAATTCTATTGCTATTTTGAAGTCTTATTCGATGAAATAATTGTAAGAAAAGCCGGTTTTAATTACAGGGGATAAGCCTATGGTTTAGGTCCTACACTGCGCATACCTGTGCATATGATTATCTTTTAGCACATTAAGTGAGTGGGGCTATTTCATTGCATAAAATAAGGCTTAGAAGAAGTTTTCAGGTCAAGACTACATTACTGTTATTGCAAAAAAATATATACAGTCATATATCGGAGACAGCATATTGGAGAGCACGACTGATCCTCTCCAAACACAGCATCTGTCTAAAACTGCAAGGAAGCTTTGTTTATATTGCATGTCTAAATATAACTTCTGTCTGGTGCAGCTTCTCTCTCTCTGTCTTTGCTAGTGTGCGACTGACTTTCTACAACTAGGACTTTCCTTGGTTTCTTTTCTAGTGCTCTTTAAATCATGGCTAATTAGAGGAGTTCAGACTCCCTCATGATATCATATTCTCTTGTAGAATGTGAAATTAGAGTCATTGTGGATTGTTTTAATAAGTGCCAGGTTTGAATTTCAAAAAATCTTGGCATTAATATTGATATCAGCATGCATTATTCTGTGCCTTAGTTAAGATATGCTAGAATTAGATTAATTAACTGCAAATATACTGCATTGCTCAAAGCTCTATTTGTAAACCTCGCTTCCTAATCAGGATTGTTCCTAAAGCATTATCTGGCATTTTAATGGTGCTGACTAACATCGCTTTAATTAGCTGCCTCTGTAAAGTACCAGGCAAACCATCTGTGTGAATCCTTTTAATTAACTGGGTTTAATCTGAGCTTTTCTTTCTGGCATTCATAGCATGTCAGTGGAAGCAATATAAAATGTATAGGGTAAAGATGTTATAGCATCAATCGAAATGGAAGTATCTTCATTTCTGCAGTTGGCATTTATTCTCTAAGGGCTCAGAATTCAATACAGAAGTTGACAGGCCATGCTTACATTTGCCTGCAATTTTAGTGGGATCAAGGTAAGACCATAAGATAGCAATATGGATCACTGATTTATCACCGACACCAGCATTAGGTAATGGCAGGGGGCTAAGATGTGCAACCTGGGCTTCATGTGGCTTGCTATGGATTTGAACTTATCCTCTAAGGACCTTTAAAGATTGAACCTGGCTGAAGAAACCTTTCAGGTTTTACAAGCAGGCAGCAGAATACAACTGTATCAAAAATGGATTAGCTTCAAACCAATTATTTTTTTAAAAGCAATTGGAGACTATGGTGGCTATGCTTGAATTCTTATATCCAAGCATTCCTCTCTTCCCGGCATGGGATTCTGTCCAGCTTCTGTTGTCAACCTGGCTGTTTTTCACTGGCGTACCATACACACAAGATAAATACTGGCCTCAATGAAGCCAACAGAAAGGTTTCCTTCAGGATTCAGCCTAGGCGCTTGCTTGAGCACTGCTTTCTAAGATTATGTTTGAGATGGGTGTTTGTATTAGGAGGAATTGTTGATCTATACAAACAAGATTTATATCAATTCAGATCTGTAGTACAGCCTGATAGAAAAGTTCACTATGAACTAGAACTGGGTGTAGGTATAGTTCGCGTATTCCATGAGCTATAGTCCATTTGACAGGGCGTGTGAAGAAACAGTACGGCAAAAAGTTTACCACGAATGGATGCTAACTTAGTGTGAAGTACAGCACTAATGCTTTCCTGATAGTCTGACAAAGCAGAGTCAGATATGAATTTGATAAACCACAGACATTTTATTGAAATTTTCTGGTTCAGTGGAATGTACTGCAATCACAGATTTTTCATGGAAACCTGCCTGATGGTCTGCCCATGACTTGAGGTTTCCAAGGGCCCAGGTTTGAGGGCAGTCAGACTATGCACACGGACCAGGGCTTCCTGGCTTCCAGAGCTTTCCAGTCTCCTGGGAGAAACATATGCTGTATCACATGGATCACAGTCAGTTTTGGAAACACCGTCTTTTAGCTTCTTCTGTTTATAACTCTGTTCCTTCCTGGATTGTTATAAAAGCTTGGTCCTGAGATACTTTACCCCTACTTGGATATGGAGCAGAAGAGCATCAGTTATCTGCAACTAATCCCTTGAATAGCTTAGACAAATTCCATGGGCAATTCCTGGTGTTTGAAACAGTGGTAACTTCTGTAAAAGTATTTATGTGCAAAGAATGAAAAGCAGTAACTGGCTATGAGCAAACTACACTTTTGGGAAATGTGGGGTGATTTACTGGAGGAAGGGCTTTAGGATCCAGGCCTTACTACAATGAATTTTTAAACTTGGATCCTTCTGGATGAAATCAGGAGGTACAGGTACAATTGCTAACAAACAATTTTAGGATACTAACTAGCAAATTAGCAAAACCACCTCAGAATCAGGACAGTCATGGCATGATAATGAGTAAAGTATTTATGATGTGACATCTGACCTTCAGGACAAGAAAATCAGTTGCTTTCGGGTGGTCTTTGC